CAGCAACCTGGGAACTGTGGCTGACTATCCTCCCAGCAACTCCACGAAGACTACAAGTCACAAGTCCAGTAGATTTTTCTCTCCTAAACGTTTCTCAAATCCCACCTCTCCTCTCCATCTCTGCAACCACTGCCTGAATCCAGGCTCTCACCCTTCTCTCCTCTGAGCACCTTCTCTCCAGTCTCAAACCCTCCAAATAAGAATCGTTCATGTCACTCCCATCATGAATACACAGCAGTCTGACACCCCAGCTGGCTTTAGATAAACACTACTCAAGAAATAGATGAAATAGAAATATTGAAGTCTTGAGGCCATTGCAGTGTCTTAATGGGGTTAATAATGCAGAATATATGCAGTTGATGTGGTCCTATTAATGCTTGGGCATGTGATTAATGCTGTACCCATGAGTGACCTCCATCATTGTGCTCAGAAAAGGCTGCACTTTTGGACTCCCAGGTTTGCACAGCTGGAAGGGACTTCTAGCACACACCACTGGGTGTCTACCAGCATCCATGCTTAGCTCCCCTTGAACCTCTCTGAAGAGACTGGAAAAACGAACTACTTTCACAGCTCCTCTTACAGGTAAGGGTAACAAATGAGACATCAATAGTTTGCTGGGGCTTCTGGGAAAACTTTGCTCTTCTGATGAGAGGGGCAGGCTTTGCTGATACCATCCTTCCCCTCTTCTTTCTGAGGTACCCAGAAATATGAACCTGGCACTGTGGGAGCCATTGAGGGACTGAGGAAAAAGGTCAAGAGAATATCTGAGGTGCTGGCTTCAACATCCCTCTGCTCCCATAATGGGACTCCAGGGAGAAAGGAACTTGCCCAAGAACCCTGCAGCCACTCTGGAGGGCTCACTGGGTAGCGGAAGTCTGTTGTTTTGAGCGGGGAGAGCTGGTAAGGAAGCTAGCTGCAAATTCTTTCCTTGGAATGACTCTGCCTCAAAGGAGTATCATACAAGTAGGGAGCCCGTGCTAAAGTAACAGCAAATTAACACCACAAGCTGTTCCTAGGTTTTCACAGCCCCAGCTACAGGTTAAGGAAACCTGTAATTAACGCTCTGCCCCGTGCCTTCCGTGATTTGTCCTGGCTGCAGGCTCGGGGGTGGAAAGACAGAAAAGGCCTCACAGATGACCAGGCACATTTTCTAGTCACACCCACCTCCTCAAGTTCATTAACACCTCCCACATAACTCACAGAGATAGCGGTGCATGGCCAGCAACTAATGAACGCGGTTATCAAAGAGCTGAGAGTGTCTGCAACACAAGCTAGCGAGGCCCTGGCAGAGGAAAGCCAGTAGCTCCCCGTTCACATTCTCTCCTCCGAGAACCCAGTGTACGATGGTTAAATCTGGGACCATCCTAGAGGCTATTTACTTGAATATTTAAAAAGAAAGAAGCTTGATTTGAAGGCAGAATCACATATAAATAAGTCCCATGACCCTAGTTTCTGAGGACAGCCACAGAAGAAAACTCCAGGGTATTAAGACATCCCAGCTCATCTTATATAAAGTCACGGGGAAAGACAAAAGAACAATAACAAAGAAATGCAGACTGGAAGCAAATAAGCGTGGTTATTTTCTCCATATTTTTAATATGACGATAGGTCTCTCTATTCAATAGTTACGTTCTTTAAAAGTAGTGCGTAAATTGGTCTTTGTTGATAAATCTAACCGTGTTATAAACACCCTAAAATAAATATTTGAAGAGACTTTTATGTGTCCTTTATTTTTTTACAAAGTATTCTCTTTTCTGTTTTTTAAATCACTTTTTCACATTCTAGGTTTCTTGAAACTGAGGTACACCCACATATCCAAACATGTGCACTGAATTTCGTTTCCAGTTCACATTCGACAGTTACCTCTTCTCATTAGAGCAATTACGTTTTTTAAAGATTGAAATAGAGTCGATCTACAATATTGTGTCAGTTTCAGGTATACAGCAGAGTGATTCAGTACTTTTGCAGATTATACTCCATTAAATGTTATTACATGATAATGGGTATAATCCCCTCTGCTATACAGTAGGGCCTTGTTTGCTTATCTATTTTATATATAGTAATTTGTATCTGTTAATCCCATACCCCTGGTTTGTCTCTTCCCCCTTCTTTTTCCCCTTTGGTAACCACAAGTTTTTTCCTACGTCCGTGAGTCTGTTTCTGTTCTGTATATACATTCATTTGTATTCTTTTTTAGATTCTACATATAAATGATATCATATAGTATTTGTCTTTCTCTTTCTGATTTATTCCATTAGCATAATATTCTCTAGGTCCACCCATGTAGCTGCAAATGGTAGTATTTCATTGTTGTATGGCTAATATTCCATTGTTTGTATATACCACATCTTCTTAATCCAATCATCTGTTGATGGGCATTTGGGTTGCTTCCATGTCTTAGCTATTGTAAACAGTGCTGCTATGAGCACTAGGGTGTGTTTATCTTTTCTAATGAGTGCTTTGGGGTTCTTTAAAGGTATACACTCAGGAGTGGAATTGCTGGATCACATGGTAGTTCTATTTTTAGTTTTTCTGTTTGTTTGTTTGTTTGTTTTAAGCAGACTCCATACTATTTTCCACAGCGGCTATACCAATTTACACTCTCACCAACACTGTAGGAGGGTTCCCTTTTCTCCACATCCTCTTCAACATTTGTTATTTGTAGATTTTTGATGTTAGCCATTCTGACAGGTGTGAGATAATGCCTCACTTTGGTTTTGATTTGCATATCTCTAATAACTAGGGATGTTGAGCATCTTTTCATGTACCTGTTGGCAGTCTGTATATCTTCTTTGGAAAAATGGCTATTCAAGTCTCCTGCCATGTTTGATTGGATTGTGGGGTTATTTTTTTTGACATTGAGTTTTATGAGATATTCTGTTTTTTAAAACACATAGATTTTTTTATCTCAAAGGCAAATTTGCTTTGCTTCCCCTCCCCCACCCTTCTGCTGAAGGAACAAGAGTAGTACTCTGTCTTTTTATAAAAAGAGAAGACTTTAAATGCTGACTGTAGTGGATTCTGCGGTCTGCTACCCAGACCTTTTGTGTTTAGGACAGAGGCATCCTTGCCCCGATGCTGGGAACGCTGGCGGCTCACAGCTCTCATTGAGCTGCTCTCATGGGTTTACCCTCAGCCATGGAGACCCAACTACACTAATTTTTCCCTCCCTGGGGGTAGCTTGTAGCCAATGACCATCAATGCTAGAGTATAAATGACCCATGCCCTTGCCCCAAGACTGGACAACTCTAAAGATACAATCCAGCTCCAGAGCTCACCATGGGATCCACTGAAGCATTTGTTCATTGGAGTTCAACCCCACTCTCTGCCCAACACTGATCCCTTCACTCCCACACTGATGTTCACCCCAAGAGTGCTCCCCAGTAAACTCATTCCACACAAATCTCCTTCTCAGAGTTTGTTTCCTGGAAACCCAGTCTAAGACATTCATCTTATTCTTCCTAAGACTTTCATTATTCTAGTTATTTTATGAATGGGTGTGGGGGAAGATCTGAGGCCTCAGACAAGTTCAGGGACAAAGCTTCCCTGTCCTCTGCTCACTGCCCGAAATATTTGGCTATAAAGGTGAAGGTAAAAATTCCCATTAAGTTGGAACAAAACTATGGGTATTTACTGACATGCATGGAGTGATCCTTTTACTAAAAATGTGTCAAGGACATTTTAATCATATCTAGTCCAAACAAGCATGTACATGAACACACATATATACAAAAGAAAGATAAATGAACTTAGGGAAAGATTCTTCTCTCACCTGAAGTACCCATTACTAAAAAATATTAACAATAAGAGTCTGCTCCCTAAATTACATTGGAGTTATTTCACTTTGCCTGACACACAGGAGCAGTAATTTCGTTCTCCCTTTTCTTTTCGCACAACTGGGATGACACACAATTCTGTATAGAACCCAAGCACTGCGCTGATGTTGTTTATTCTGACTCAAGGATCTCTTTCCTCCTCTCCCCCTTCTATTCTGCCCTCAACCAATTTTCCCACATTTATAAACAAATTTGCACGGTAAATTCAAGTAAGCACAAACCATGTTCCTCAAGTGATCAGTGGCCATAGATTTTTTTTCCCAAGGAAGTATCTTTAGTTTTAATTTTATTACATTTACTTTCTTTATATTTATTCCCACAGGTCAATGATTTTACATAGATGCCTCCTTATAATCATATCATGGTCACTTTTTTTTTTCTCCCTTTCTTGCTTGGTTCCCTTTCCTTTTGCTTCTCTTGCCTTTATTTTGGCAGTATTTCCAACATGGAACCCATATCAACACCAGTGTGTGTGCTTACTATTCTTTTCTGAACTCACAGTATTCATCTATGCACATGTACATTTACACACACATGTATAGAAGATCTTATGTACACCCTTCTACATTTTGTTTTCTCACTCACTACCTCTCTTAAAGTCATCTGGCATGGGTCAAATTCGCAATCCATTATGTGAATATATCACAGTATTTTCAACTATTCCACTATTGAGAGTTGTTTACTTTTAGGGTTTTATTTGTCACCATACACAATGCTGCAGTAAATAATACCCACTTTTTAAAAGTGGATTTTAAGATTTTAGATATCATTGGTATAGATTTTTAAGACTGGAATTGCTAGGTCAAAGCTCATATGTATTTCTAATATTAACAGATATACCAAATTGCTTTCTAAAAACCTTATTAAATTACACATATCAGCCATATATGCTTTTCTCTACGTACACATTAACATCTTATGCCAATTGTATTCAATTTTATTTATACCAGATTTTTGACTGATTAGGCAAATAATATGTTGATGTTCAGCCTTATATCAGACCCATCTTAGAGTATGGAGTGGTCCAGGGGTTGGATGTAATCCCAGCTTCAGCCAACTTTTAAAGTATGATTCCAGAAAATAACACAACTATACCTCACCCTTCCTCCATTATGACCCATGGTATCATGACTGTCATGAATAGGGCTTGCACATGGCACTCACCAATGACATATTCCACCCTGAAGAGGTCCCTTCTAGGGTTATAGGGACGATTGAAGTCGATCTGGATGTAGAAAGACTGTCCTCTACGTACAATCAGCTTGTTGTTGTTGTATTTGTCGGTGTGGTGATCCACTTTGTTGCTGTCCCATCTCTCCTTGAACAGGTGAACACCCGTAACATTAAGGTAGTCTATACACAAAGAAAACGATCAAGGGAAACCATTGAGTAACTTTGGTTTAAACACAAACTCGAAAAACAAGACTATTTTTGCTGAAGACGCAAAAGGTAGTAAAAGGTTTTGTTAGATAAAACTCTATACAGGGGGCTGGTAGATTTGGGAGCCAGTCTCTTGTGACAGCCTTGTTTTCAAAGAAGATTTTTTATTTATTTATTTTTATTTTATTTTATTTTATTTTTTTTTTGCGGTATGCGGGCCTCTCACTATTGTGGCCTCTCCCGTTGTGGAGCACAGGCTCTGGACGCGCAGGCTCAGAGGCCATGGCTCACGGGCCTAGCCGCTCCGCGGCATGTGGGATCTTCCCGGACCGGGTCACAAACCAGTGTCCCCTGCATCAGCAGGCGGACTCTCAACCACTGCACCACCAGGGAAGCCCTCAAAGCAGATTTTTTAAAAAGCATTTTCCCCTTCTGATCTCATCTCAGACCACACGGCACTCACTTTAGGATAATAAAGCTGTGTTGATAAAGCCTATCAATAGGTCTAGATACAGAGGAACTAGCACCTGAGTTCAAGGCTTCACTTCCGAGTCTCATGTTGGTTTTCATTATGTCAGGTGCCTCCACACGTTGGGATAAGCAGGGGATACCACTTCAATTTTCTTAGCTTTAAAAAGAGAGGAATCAAATCTGACAAAGCCTGCAAGGGATGTTCTAAGGACAAAGTTGATCATCAGTCCAAAATTCTCCTCTTACTTCAGGAAAGGTCAACCCACAGCCCCCTTCTTTAATTCTAAAAGTAGATCTTGTCCTTCAAAGGCAGGAAACAGAGGGAACAGGCATGGAGGAAGGATACCAGCATTCCTATGAGGTAGGTAGGATTGTTTCCACTTTGCACATGCTGAAACAAGACTCAATTTCCCTGGCTACTAAACAACCAATCTGGAAGCAAACCCTGGTGTGACGCCAAAATCTACAGGCTTTTCCTCTGATTTTTGGAATAGGGAGTGTAAATGTCAGTTGTATATTTACCTGAGACATGATAGCACTGGATAAAAGTTAGACCTCCTCTTGCTTTTTTCCCATTCCCTCTGCAAATGATCACTGAATGTGAAGGTAACTCTAACTACCCGTCTACACTGCAGTTTAGAAGATCTAGTCTAAAGACAGATTTCTGTGTATGCATTTGGAGTTCTAAAGGGGCAATGGAGAGAGAATGCTGGGTGAGGTGGTGGGTGTGCACTGGCCTCTTGCTTTCCCCCCCTTTTCCTGACCTTGACTGTTGCATGGTTTGTCCTCATGGCTGTGAACTCAGTGTACATAGAGAGCTGGGGCTTCACCCTGAAAGGCTCAGTGATTTCCCCTGTTTTTATGCAGGAATCCTGTGCAGGACCCCTGGTGCTCTCTGGCCTCATTTCTTCTCATAGGCAACATGGAGAAATTGGGTTCATTAAGGTACTCTATAGGTCTGAAGTCTAGGAGTCCCTGCAGCACCCTTGATGAATTCAAAGTCCAGGTAATCCTGAGTTTGAATCTCAGGTCTCATAATTACTTAGGTAAGGGATGTTGCCTCTCAGAAGCTGAGTTTTCTCACCTTTAAAATGAAGATACGGGGCTTCCCTGGTGGCGCAGTGCTTGAGAGTCCGCCTGCCGATGCAGGAGACACGGGTTCGTGCCCCGTTTCGGGAAGATCCCACATGCCGCGGAGCGGCTGGGCCCGTGAGCCATGGCTACTGAGCCTGCGCGTCCGGAGCCTGTGCTCCGCAAATGGGAGAGGCCACAACAGTGAGAGGCCCGCATAACGCAAGAAAAAAAAAAAAAAAAAAAATGAAGATACGAATACCTTGAGAATTTCTACAAAGATTCAATGACCTAACAGCACAATGGGTCTGATTTTATGCCTGGTGCATAGTGGGACCAGAGGCTTCCTTTGAGCTTGCTGACTATGAACTGTCATGGCGCCACTTTTTACATGGTGCTCAATGGACTATTCTGACTGCAACATTATAGCAAACAGAAAGTGCAAGATGCAATTTTATTTTTGCTTCACCTCAGAACCCTGTAGTACATGGTCCCCTGAAGGGCAGTTTCCTTCCATTATGCTGTGATGTGAAGATGTTTATTTCTACAGCTCTCTCTTCCAAGCTGCCTTCCTCCTAAGTTCTCTGGTCTTATTAAGGTCACAATCCCCAGTGCTAAACCAGCTTCAGAAAGAGCTGGAGAATCATAAACGTCCCAACTGAGAAGAGCCTTAGTAATCAACTCATCTGGCCCTCTTTCTTAGCACTTTTAATAATGTTTTGTTTTATTTTTAAAAATGTCTAAAAACCTAACTCCTCAGAAAAGGGTTTAATCAGCTCTCCATTCATCAGCACCAGTGGAAGGAATATACTGATACAGCACTGTCACAGAATCTCAGAGCGCAAAGGTACTTTCTGGACCATCTGGTAGACCTGCTATGTATTGCACGAAACATCTCCATGAAAATCCTAATACTTAGGCTTTTAGCCTCCATCTGAACAGGGAACCCACTATCTTGTAAAGCAAACAGGCCATTTTTAAACCACCCAATTATTTGAAAAATCCTTATAAGTTGAACTGACATCTTTTTCCCTGTAATTTTTCTAACCATAGATCCTGGTTCCAACTTCTGCATAAATATAGAATATGTTCTATTCATTTCATCTGGCACTCTTTTGGTACATAAAGACTACGGTTAGGGTTTCTCTGAGTAAAACATTCTCCACATCTTCAACTGTTCTTTAAGAAATTATTTCCAGACCTTCTACCCATTACTGTGTTCTGAAATATACATATTCCATTTTACGAATTTCTCTCTTATAGCGTTTTTCCTAGAATTAAGTACATTACTCTGGTTATGGTTTTTCCAGTGAAAACCAATGAGACCACTGCATCTTTCAAAATAAGTAGTATATTTCTATGATTTCAGTCCCAGATACCATTAGTGTTTTGAATACTCTTTTTTTTTTTTTTTTTTTTTTTTTTTGCGGTACGCCGGCCTCTCACTGTTGTGGCCTCTCCCGTTGCGGAGCACAGGCTCCGGACGCGCAGGCTCAGCGGCCATGGCTCACGGGCCCAGCCACTCCGCAGCACGTGGGATCTTCCCGGACTGGGGCACGAACCCGTGTCCCCTGCATCGGCAGACGGACTCTCAACCACTGCGCCACAAGGGAAGCCCTGGATACTCTTATTGTTGATTTACATTAAGCATCTGATGAAGTAAAATGCTTAACAATACATTCTGATGTCACTTCTACCAGTAGTGGATTAAAACTCAGTCCAGACCCCTATAAGCCATTTTCTCGTGTTGTTATTCAGCCATTTCTATCAATGCAACTGTTTTTTTCTTTTTAGCTCAGTTTTAAGGCCTTACATGTATTCACATTAAATTTCGTCCTGTTGTATTTGGTTAATTGCTCTGAATTCTTAAGATAACTTTAGACCCTAAGTATATATTCACTATATTAACATCCTCCCTAATTTCCTGTCCTCCAGGAATTTCATAAGTGTGCTATTTTATGTTGCCATTCAAGACACGGATATAGATGTTGATCAGGGCACCACCAAATAAATGCAACTTAAGTAAATGCACAGTGGTAGATACTAAAGAATGAACAGGTAATTATGATATAGTGTCATGAACACCCTGACAAAGGAAGTAAAGGAGTCTGAGTAGGGAAGGGTTTCTGGCTAGGAGCTCCTGACCCAGATTGCAGCGGGAGGGGGGTGATTAAGGAAGCTTTCTGGAGGAAGTGAGGTATAAGCAGGGGTCAGGAAGCTGAGCAAGTTTTCCAGGTAAAAAGACAGGTGGGGAAGAGGGGAGGATGAGTGAAGACTGAGGAGAGAGAGTGCATGGTTTACTTTAAAAGCTGAAAGGTGATTGGTTGGCCAGAGCGTAGCAGTGGGACCACAGTGGAAGAGAAGGCAGGAGCTGCTCCTGCAGGCCTTGCAGACCGTGTTAAGGAACGTGGATTCTAATTGCATTGGGGATCCAGTGAAGAATCTGAAAGAGCAAACAGACATGGTCAGATTTGTGCCTGTGCAAACGTAAACTGCTTTTTCCGGTGACAGAGGGGAAAACGGATTGGGCGGTGGCAGTGCTGGAATTCCAGGTGAGGGTTGGGGAGGTCCAGTCTGCCTGTAGGGAGTGAATGCCCTGGTCCTGGTGCACTGCCAGGGTCTGCCTCAGCTCTTCCCACCCCACCCCTGTGATGACGTGCCCCTAAAAACCAGTATATTAGCTTTATGTCTTGGCTGCCGCAGCAGGTCTGCCCACACGGAAAGATAAAGCTGGAGAGAGTCAAGTCTTTCTTTGGTATCTGGTTCCCACTGGTTCCAGTTCTCACTGCAAATGAAAACCCTGGCTTTCCAGTTCCACGCTCCAGTCTAGCAAATCTGGTTAATGTCTAGTGAGTCTGGTTAAGTCAGTCCATTCTGAGAATTCCCTGGCTGTCCAGTGGTTAGGACTCTGCGCTCTCCCTGTGAGGGCCCGGGTTCAATCCTTGGTCTTGGTCGGGGAACTAAGATCCCACAAGACTCAAGGCGCATCCAAAAAAAAAAAAAAGAAAAAAATCAGTCTGTCCTTGTGGTAGTGCCGTGCAGAGTGTATAGATGGGTATTGGAAGAATAAGAGTGCCATAGTTAAACAAGATTGGGGAGTGCTGGTTTAACCAAAGTTAATCAGGATTCTTGCAGAATTTATGGCAGACTGTCACACGCTGATGTACTCTGCAAACCTCCTACAGGTGCAATGCTTTCCAAAGTTAAACGACCATGGGAACTATTTTTTTGTGGAGGATTTTTCAGAATATGTTTTGGGAGATGCTTCACTGTTTACTAATTGTGCAACCTCAGAAAAGTTATTTAATCTCTCTGAGTCTAGTTTTCTTATTTTTAGAAAGGCAATGAAATACCTCAAAGGGTTGGTGTAAGCATTAAATGGAAAAAAAAATCTATATAAAATGCTTTAGCATAGTATCTGGCACCTAGTA